TTTTTTTTTGAGTCAGAGTCTCACTCTGTCACCTAGGCTGGAGTGCAGTGGCACGCTCACAGCCACCGCAGCCTCGACCTGCTGGACTCCGACAATCCTTTTGCCACAACTTTCCAAGTAACTGAAGCTGCAGGCACGTGTCACCACGCCTGGCTAATTTTTTGATTTATGGTAGAGATGAGGTCTCGCCAAGTTGCCCAGGCTGGTCTTGCCCAAGTTGCTCAGGCAATCCTTTCACCTCAGCCTCCCAAAGTGCTGGGATTATAGGCATGAGCCACCACACACCCAGCCAAGTAGGCAGATCTTGAGTGCCCAGCTTTGTGTGGTTTTACTCATTTATTCACTGGGGTACTGCCGTTCGGATCAAGATAAGGAACCTTTCCGACACCCCTGAAGGTTTTGTGCCCTTTCCAATTGCTGCCCACCCCTCACACCACCAGGTGATCACTGCACTGGTTTCTGCTGTCAGTGAGGTGTTTTTTTTTTTTGTCAATCTCACTCTGTCGCCCAGGCTGGAGTACAGTGGCACACTCATGGCCACCGTAGCCTCGACCTGGCTGGGTTCAGGCGATCCTTCTGCTTCAGCCTTCCAAGTAGCTGAAACTACGGGCATGAACCACCATGCCTGGCTAATTATTTGGTTTATTGTAGAGACAAGGTCTTGCCATGTTGCCCAGGCTGGTCTCAAACCCATGGGCTCAGATAATCCTCTCCTCTCACCTCCACCTCCCAAAGGGCTGGGATCACGGGCGTGAGCCACTGCACCCAGCTACGTCAGTGAGATTTGTCTGACGTGACTCAGATATTCTGTTCTTATTCATTCTTGTTTTATTTCCCTGTCTTACCCCTCTCCCTGATCATCTGCTGCCCTCTCTGATATGCCCGCCTTTTGCTTTTGGTAGAGGTTCCATCCTGCATCGTTTCCTGCTGGGCCACATGTCTTAGGCGTGCTTCTGTGTGTGCCCATGGATGTATGTACAACTGCAGGACTCCATGGCACGTATATGTTGTCATTTCTTCCTCCAGCCCCTGTGAGGGACACATAGACATTTGCAGACACTCAGGCCAAACTTTAAACCACGTCTGACTTGGGGTCCAGCTGGGTTGTCAGATCCAGAGAGAGTCAGACAGACTGAGTCCTGAGGGCCAGGGCCTCTGGGCAGAGGGGCCAAGAGCTGCTGACCCTCCCTGGGGCCTCCCACAGAGGCGGCCACGCCACGGTGGGGCTCGGTGGGCGGCTGGAAGTGCTGACCCAGGACCTCCAGCAGCTTCAGGAGAGCGAGCAGCAGCTGGACCACCTGATGCACGTCTGCACCACTCAGCTGCAGCTCCTGTCTGAGGACTCTGACAGCCAGCGATATCCTTGGACTAGCCAGAGGGCAGGGGAGGTGGGCGTGGTGAGTGGGACCTGCCCAAGTGGGACCAGTGAGGCTGCCTTGGGCCCTGGATCCTGGGGAGGGCTCTGGCTTTGGATGCAAGTCCTGGCTCAGCACTTGCTCACTGTGTGACACTGGACAACTTAAACTCCTGGTCCTTAGTTTTATCTATAAATGGATAATAATACCCAATTCTAAAATTGTGCAGATTAAAAAAGAAAAGCTAGGATCAGCAATAATAAACATTTATTTAATGCGGTGAGTCATTACATGATTGTAGCTTCAAAATTAGAGACATGTTTGTATTTTTTATTCGTAAAAAAGGAAGCTTCATTAAAATGTTTTCTTTTCAGTGGCTACCCAAATTGTGCATATAAATTGTGGGTACAACCATCAGTTGACACCAAGATCATACCTCAAAATAAATTCCCAGACCTGGGGGTGGTGGCCCATGCCTGTAGTCCCAGCTACTCAGGAGGCCGAGGCAGGAGGGTCGCTTGAGCCCAGGAGTTTGAGGCCAGCCTGGACTACGTAGTGATACCCCACCTCTGATAAGTAAGTTCCCAGTACCGGGCCTGGAGTTGCGTTAAGCATTTTACCAACTGAAGTCGTTGCCGGTGACCATCATTCCTTGGGATGAAGCAGATAGAATGGTCCCATTGGACAGATGTGGAAACTGAAGCTCAGAGAAATGAGATGGGTTGTGAGCAGGTGAGAGCTGAGGGCCCAGAAGTGCCTAGGCAAGTGGGGGCTGTCTAGATGGCCCCCAGAGGTCAGAAGTGATGTGGTCCTTGACTCTACCAACCCTGGCCTATGTGACATGCCAGGACCTTCGTAGCATCGCAGACCCTGCCGAGCAGATGGTCATGGTGATCAAAGCCCCTCCTGAGACCCAGCTCCAAGCCGTGGACTCTTCGGAGGTGAGACCTGGGACTCCAGACCTGACCAGGACAAGCTGGGCTGGGATGGTGGTAACCTGGGCCTCAGTTCACCCTACCTGCTGCCTCCACCCAGACCTTTCAGATCTCCCTGAAGAGCAAACAAGGCCCCATCGACGTTTTCCTGTGCCCTGAGGAGAGTGCAGGTGGGATCAGCCCTGGGGCCACCTCATCCCAGGGGGCCGCTTCTGAGGAGGAGAACAGGGCTGCTGATCCTGCCGCCACAGAGCCACCACTGCCATCGTCTCCCCCCTCATCCTCTGCCATGGGTCCTGGCCAGTCTCCGCTCAGCCTAGACCAAGGTGGGTCCTGGGGGTGTGTGGGTGGGCCGGGGCAGGGCTCCTGTCTGGGGAGCAGGCAGGTATGACAGCCCCTGTCCTCCCTGCTGAGGCGTCCCAGGCCCGTGATGCTCCCCCGTCTCTCCAGAACCGCTGTTGTCCCGGATGGGCGGCCTGCGGGCTCCTGTGGATGAGGACCGCCTGTCCCCGCTGGTGGCGGCCGACTCACTCCTGGAGCATGTGCGGGAGGACTTCTCCGGCCTCCTCCCTGAGGAGTTCATCAGCCTCTCCCCGCCCCCCGAGGCCCTCGACTACCACTTTGGTCTGGAAGAGGGCGAGGGCATCAGAGACCTCTTCGACTGTGACTTTGGGGACCTCACCCCCCTAGATTTCTGATGGGGCCTAGGGGGGCCGGGGTCTCCTGAGATGCCCACTCTGTCACTGCAGCTCTGGAGTCCCCTGCCCCTGGCCTTCCTCCCAGCCCGATTGGAAATGTTTAACTTATACCCCTTTCTCCTATGTCCAGTGGCTTCTAGAAGCTCTGGGGTCTGGCGACCGCCAGGAAGCTGAACAAGCCAGGAAGGGAAGGATTCTGTGTTTGTGGTGTGTATGTGCATGCGCCCCACACTCCACACGTGTGTTCCCGGGGTGAGTGTGGTGTGTGAGCATGTGTGTGCATGTACCGGGGAATGAAGGTGAACCCGTCTGTGCGTGCACTGCAGATATGCCCCAGTGTCCACGTGTGTGCGCAGGGCCACATGTGGGTGAGGGGGCTCTAACTGCACTTTCGGTCTTTTTGCTCCGGGGACCCCGAAAGGCCCAGGGTGGCTGCCTGCCCCAGGATTCAGCATGTCGACCAGGCCAGGTGGGGAGGCCTTGGCTGGCTGGGTCTGCAGGACAGTGAGAGCACTTCTGTCTTAAAGGTTTTTCTGATCGAAGCTTTAATGGAACGTTATTTATTTATCAAGGCCTTGTTGGCAAGCCTGGGGAATTAGCAGAGCGCGGGGGGTGCAGGACCGATACCCCAACTCCCCATGCCCCTGTGCAAAAGCAGGGGCTCCTGAACTGTTCTGCCCCACCCAAGGAGCTGAGGCCTGAGTGATTTATTTATTGGAAAGTGAGGGGGGAGACAGACTGACTGGCAGCCATGGTGGACGATGGTGGGGGTGGGCCCTCTCTGGGGGCCGCTTCAGGGCCCCAGCTGTCCCCGGGGCTGGCGCTGAGATGGGAGAGGTGAGTGGGGCCCTTCACGGACATGGGTGGCGGGGAGGGGCTGCAGGGCCTCTCACACAGGGCCCGGCCGCCGCTGTGTTTAAGCCCCCTTGCCTGGCCACATCCCCCAGTCTGCACTTTGATTTGCTTCCTCACAGCTCTGTTTCCTCCTGCTTTGGTTTTAATAAATATTTTGATGATGCTTGGGCTGGGTTTGGGGACTCTGTTGGGAGACAGTCTGGGGCAGGAGAGGCCAGGGTTGCTGGGAAATGTCCACGCTCCACGACCTTCTCCCTGCCCCTGCCTGGTTTGGTTTGACTTGCATCTCATAACCCTAGGCTTTGGTGCCATGTTGGTCCTATCTTGAAAAACGGCCTAGTAAATGTCACAGAAAGTCATGACTAGACTGAAGCGTCATGTGACAGCAAACTCTCCTGCCCCGGCCACAGAGGCCACTCTGTTTGCTGTGTTCCAGACATTTCTGGGAGCTAGTAAACATGCAACAAGCACCCATTGCATGACAGATACTTTCCAATTCGGGGGACCTGTGTGTTCCCCTCATGGAAGTCTTAGGGTGTGGTGGAGTAGAGTTACAGTTAAGACCATCAGGTAGGGCCTCCTGGAAGGGGTGGTCCTTGAGCTGACAGCTGAAGGATAAATAGGAGTTAATTAACCTGGGGAAGAAAACATGAGGGGATGACAGTATGGGCAACTGCCCTGGGGCAGGAGGGAGCCTGGCACAGGGAGCCAGGGAAAACCAATGTGGCTGGAGTCCAGAGGTGAGGGTCAGACGGTGCTGGAGAGGGAGTGGCACGTCCCGTGTGGGGCTTCCAAGCTCTGGCCGCAGAGCGGCCAAGGAGAGGGAAGAGAAGGCCAGCTGAGTCCGCTTGCAGTAGGGCCTGGGGGGGAAGCTGGGAGGTGGCCGTGTGGACCCACGCGCATCTTAGGGGCGCCTCTGTTTTAAGCACTGTACATTTAGCGGATCCCGACAACCTGTGGGTGTCTACTAACTACTCCCATTTCTGCAGAGGACGCAGATGCCCAGAGAGGCGGCGCCACGGCCCTCGTGGGCTTAGCCAGTCGGCGTCCTCTTGCGCGTCCGCACCTGGCTCGTTTGCCCCGACGCCGGGAGCCGGCCCCGCCCCTCC